CTATTCATTCTTGTGCTCTCTGCTGGGAAAGAGGAGCAAAATTAGGTGTTCAAAGTGCCACAGTGAGTTTAGCTCTGCTTAATGCTTGTTCACCTACTGCTTTGTACAGCTCACTTGCATGGAAGGTTATATATTCCTGGCCAAGGATGCAAGGTGAGTTGAGGTCCAGCGGTTTTGCTTACACTTTTCGCTGGTATGTAGCGGAAGGTGCAGATGGCAAGCTGGTAGATGTAAGAGCATCAGGTAGCCTTCAAGCTCTTGGAGGTGATGGTAGGCTCAGACCTCCTGCAAAGAAGATTAAGAGCTGTTCTGCTGGCACAAGCTGGAGAACTCTTAGTTAAATATCTCTTTCTAGTCTCTGCTTAGGGATACTTTGATTCTTGGTGAGGATTATGATTTGAGCCTTTTACTAGCAAAGCTATAGCAGTATGGACTGTTTAGTTAGCACAGCTGTTGGGAAGTAATCCTGCTCATCAGGCTCAAAACCAGTATGCTGCTGCTGTCTTCCAGAGAGGCAAGTTCTTCCCCTCCCCCCCACCCCAAGGCTACTTTCATAACAAAACTGTCCATGAACAGCTTACTAGTGTTGCTATTACAAGAGCTACTTCTGTTGGAGGATAGCTAATCTGAAAGATTGGTGGGACACTAATGCAGGCTCCCACTGTTCTTTGCTTGTATCAACCTAACTAATGTTGAAAAGCCTGTGCTCTCACTTGACCCATGCGAACACTTCTGAGGACTCCTTAACCATCCATTTCTGGTTTTGAGCTAAAACAGCTGTCTTAATATAGCATATGAAAGGACAGAGTTGTGCTCTGAAGCAACGAGGGAAGTCTAATTAGATTTGGCGTGGACTTTCTTTACTCTTGTGTCTGAACAACCATAGCACTGCTGTGCTTCATAGGACAGTTTTTGACCCTTTCCTTTAGTTCAGCTAAGCCAGTAACACTTGCAGGCCAGCTGTAAGGTATTCTCCCTTGCTGGTCTAGAAGGCCAGCTTGATGACAGTAAGACGACCACTGTGGGAGTGAACTTGCCATGCTAGCCTTAATCTCATGAGGATCAACACACTGTTAATAGCTTTCTTAGAGGAATAGGTATTAAAAATTGAGTGGAAGGACACCTCTGTCTTAGAGGCAGTTGTGTTGTTCCTTCGCACCAGTTAGGCCAGGAGGAGGAATGCTGCTGACTAGCCTCTTGAAAGGAGGTTTTTGACAGCTCCCAAGAAGGGCTGGCTGGGCTGGTAGGCTGTGCTCTAAGCAGTCATGCAGGTGACTTCTCTCCAGGAAGCTTTGCACAGCGCAAAACAGAACTGACATCTTGGATCAAATCCTAACAAACAGGGTTTTTCAAGATTCCTCTAAAAGCGTCTTTTCAGAAATCCTCCTGGGACTAGATAGGAGTCCTGAGTGAGCTGGCTGGCTAGCATGCTGTCATCTTAAGGGCTTATGACTTTTACAGGAGGCTCTACAGTAATCATGCCAGACATGATAAAACAAGAGAAGCTGCATATGTAGTGTAAAATAGTCTTGGACTCAAATACGATCAGCCTGGTTGAGATCAAAATTGTGATTAAGACTCTCAAACTGAGTTTGCTCTTTGCAAGAGCATGGAGGAAACCTTGCACAGCCTAAATCTCAACTTGGCTCACTAACTGTGTGTGTGTTTCTTTTTTTGCTAGTGTGACTGGAGGAACTCCAAGTGCTAACTACCTGCTCCTGCCACTATTCAAACCTGTCTCACTGTAGGCTGGAGCTATATTCTTCTTAGTCTCCGTTAGTCAGTTTTATATTAGCAAGACTTCTCAGAAATGAGACCTATGTAGCATAGATGTATGTGGGACTCCATTTTTGGGGACATAAGACAGTAACGAACCTGCTTACTCAATACTGTGTAATGTAAGAAATGGTCTGTCAACAAATGAGTAGTCACAAATTGCCTATGACTTGAGGCAGGTGAATCTTTGAATATTGAACTTGGCCTCGAGTTGTTTGTTTGTACCTTGTTCTGCTGACACAGCAAATGGCTTACTGTAACTGGAATCGATTGAGGTTTACCTGGGCTGTATTGCTGTGGATGGGTTCTGCGACATAATGACGTAGGAAGTCTGCAATCTAACTAGATCTAAGCTCTCACAAGGACCAGTCAAACCTCTGTTTGGCACAAACAGTTGCTTTAAAACTAGAGCTGCTGGAGACCTACTCAACCATGCAGAACTCGATAAGGATCGAGGAAATAGCAGAAGTAGTGCTGTAGAGAGCAACTTGATGCTCTTAAACCAGAGGGATTTCCTTCCAAAGAGTATGTACTGCCAACTCTGCTTTAATCTAAAACTTGTTTGTAAAAGCTTCAGCAGGCATGTGTTTGAGGCAACTGAATGACAGTACCACAGATTCAACACTGGCACTTCCTCCAGTCCCTGCCTCCAAGAGGCAATGGCAAGGAATAACTCTGAAGGGTAGGTCTAGTTCTACTTGTAACAGGAAGGTTAGTAAGAAAGCTTGGTCCCTCAACTCACTGGGCTTCAAAACAGCAGTGGTTGGTCAAGCTTAGCAAAATAGGGATGGAAAACTCTGGCTGTAAGGACTTCTAGGCTCCAGCAGAACTGGAGTTCATTAGACTTTCATGGCCCTAGCCAAATACTGAGTTGAAATAGCTCCTGCTATGCAATGGCTCATATCCTTTACATCCCAAAGGATGGAAGGTCTCACCTGTTTATGAGGCTGTAGTAGCCCTTTGCCCTAATAGGGTAGCCCATAAACTATGACAAGAAGGTAGTGTCAGGTGTGACTCAGACTTCCTTCCTGTGTCTCCAGGTGGCTGTTCAGCTGAGCTACTTCCAAGATGATAGACTTGACAGAGCAGAGTTTCCCCTCCCTTCATACTGGGACTTCAGGCTGTGTTGAACTTGGGCACTAAGCACCCAGCATGACTTAGGGCTGTGGTGAGGGCTCTGCAAATCCCTCTCCTGAGCATGAGAACTACTGCCAGCTTGTCCAAAGCTGCTTTGACTACTAGGAAGCAGTAAGCTGCAGCAGCCAATGGCAAGAGATGTTTAAAAACATCCAGGGTGAAATAGAAGCTGTATATATGGGCTTCTGGCACAATCACTTCAGGAGGAGTTGTTTACCCTCTGTGTTGAGGAGAATGGGTGACTCTCACCCTGGACTGAACCTCTGCGGATGTTTACTAAGACAGTTATGTAGACTGAATTGTGAGCAGAGCTTTGAAACAGCTTAATGACGTGCTTCTTACCCCATCTGGGCTGACTGCTACAGAAGTCTCAGGCTTGGCTAGCACCAGTGTCACTTGTGCTACATGATCTCAAAACACAGGAGATGCGGTCTGTTCAAGGGAGCTTTCACGGGCTGTTCTCCTCACTGCTGCTATAGACAAGATGAGCTGGAGTATGAGCCTTGGCAAGAACGGAAGCAGGACTAAACGTCGGGATTGTTGGCAACTTTTTCCTGCATATTATAGCTGGGCTAGTATAGCTGGGCTGCCGGCCGGATCCTTGAGCAATGCAGTCCGGCATAGTGTAGACTGCCTTGGAAAGGAGGTATGTTCCTGGAGTAACTGTCCTGTGCAAGTTCTCTGGCATCTATTAACAACCCTCTAAGGAGAGTGAGCTCTCTGGATGGCCTGTTTGCTCAACAGGCTGTGGTGGTTAACTTGTGAGCCATGTTCCCTCGGTAGACAGGTTGCTAGATACCTAAGGAAGGTGTAATCTAACAAGGTATTGCTGCAAGTGCATACCACTGTGTAGAGCAGAAAGGCTTCTCGCCTACCATAAAGAAGTTTTGAAGTCTGCAGTGTTCCCTGGTGGTAAAGTCTGAAAGA